CATTTGATCGGTAAGAAGTTACCTTTATACGAAACGGTTGAAAATGATGTGATGATACTTGTGGAAAGGGTTGAGGAAGCGATCAAATCCGCGAAACAGGTCAGTGCTTTATATGTGGACTTTTATTTGAATAATTCGTTTTTTAATGTTTATTAACATTTGATTTATTTGAATAATATAATAATTATTTGAATAATTTAATAATGTTTATTCAATCTTTAATATTTGAATGAAATTTTCTAATAAAATTTACATTGTTCAATAGCAGTCGTCGTTCATTTCAACCAAAAGTTGCTTTCTGTCGGTTAATGATGCTTTTAAGTTTCAAAGTTTGCTTGTAGCGTGTAAACTTGCGATAAAATATGAAAAAGAATATGTTCATGTTTGTGTAGTGGGAGTGTCAAACATGACGGTTAATTTAAGGAGATGAGAGAGATGGAGGAGAGGAAGAATCGTGGTAAGAAACGACGAAAAGGCGCGGGGAGTAGCGATGATGAAATTAACGATGACGCAGAAGAGAACAGTACATATCGAAAGAAAATCAAACCAACACAAAAAATACACATTCGAAATAAAGCTGCTATGTTCAGCAAAAAGAAGAGGCATTAGATTTAGGGTTTTAGGTCATTCCAGGAATGTGGTGCTTTTAGAAATTAAGGTTTCGAAGTTAAGTTTTTGAAACATTCCAAAGTCCAGAGTTTGAAATTTGTGACACGTAGGTGTGATTTCGTTGATACTTTGAAAATTGGATGGTTGGTTGCTTTTGTTGCTGTTGTTGTTGTTCACTTCCACCTTAATCGAAATGTTTTATTTACGCATCGAAATGTAACCATTCACCATTAAACCACTCATCTTATTAGATCAACATGCTATTAATCTATGAACTATAATACCGCTGGTAGATTCAAGTGAACAAGCGAAGTTCGAGTATTCAAGTTAAATATTTGTTTAAATGTAATCGAAAACATCCAATGTTTATTTAATGATACAATCACCGATTACGAACACTTTTTGCTTTACGAACGCTGTTGGTATGAACGCTTCGTCATATTGCCAGGAAAAATTAGTCGTACAGGACATTCATAATAGGATATTGATTCGTTTTTGTTGATAGTTTTGTGCTCAACGAAAAGCATTGTCATGTGTGAGAATCATTTTTGATGCAGTACGCTTTCTGATTTTTTAAAACCAAACTAATGTTGTTCTGCTGTAGTGGGGAAAAATTCGTACGTAAAGTTGTCGTCGTAAGTTGGCGAATATCTGTATTTAGTTCTATATTTTCGTACGTTTCGATAAGATATACCGAAAAAAACTCGAGTTGTCAATACTAAAAAAAATGATCAGGAAGTAATTCGATTCATTACGTTTGTTATCAATGTTGTATACAGTATTATCATTATTATTGTTGTTATTGCTGTTATTATGTCGTTATAACTTGAAAAGTTTATTAACAATAAATTGTTACTTTAAAAAATGCAATTAATTATTCACATTGTTCAAAAATTAACGTTTATTACTTTTATGGATGAGTGTTTCGCTCATTTTCGAAATAGTTGCATATTTTTGAGCGCTCTCATAAATTCCAATTTGATAGAACTGATGCTGTCTGCGTCAGGCAATACGTTTCAAAGGTTTTTGACAGGTTAACTTGATAACTCAAGAAAAACTACAATAAATATCAGGGATTGTGTAACACATCTTCCGGGAGAGCAGTTCTCTTATTCCTTTGTGTAGTCTCACGTGACGATTCGATGACTGATGAGTTCATTCGAACAAAAATTTGGTTCATTTTTCACAAGGCGAAACTGACTGAGAATTTCCGAACTTTGATTTTTCCGCAAAATGTGGTCCAATTTCTTTACTGGAAGTCTTTTTGCAATTGCAATTTCCAGCTTAAGTCATTACTGACAAACCACATTATCTTTCAAGGTTTCAAAAAAATCGCAAACCAGCCCATAAAATGGGGTAGATCCCCGTTTCATCTTATGTAAATGTGTTGATTCAATATGGTATCATATTAAATAGAATGCAGTCGGTTTCATATGATCGATTTCGCAAAAGTTTCACTCTGCAGTTTTGATGCGCTCCATAAAACTATCCCCCTTCCATTTT